AAAAAGCACGGCAGACAGCGCCGATCGTTTTTGCTTGGCGTCAGCCGCGTTCCTACCACCGCGTTGTACTTCGTGGTGGTACATCGCTCCCTCTCTTCATCTCTCTCTCTCTCTCTCTCTCTCTCTCCCTCTCTTTCTCTTCCTTCTCTCTCTCTCTCACTCTCTCTCTTCCCTCCTTCTCTCTCTCACTCTCTCTCTCTCTTCCTTCCTTCTCTCCCCCCCTCTCTCTATCTCTCTCCAATTCGCCTTCTCTCCTCGGCTTTCTCTTCTCGCCCCCTCCTTTCCTCCCTCAAGCCCTTCCTATATATTCCATTCGCCTCGAAAGATCGTGCAAACGGATGGGATTACCTCCACCTACTACAGTTTACGCATCCAGGAAAATAGATTACATTGTTGACTCGAAGGATGCGACGATATCCTCGCGCGACGCATTGATAACGAATATGTCGCATCCGAGAGTCAAGACGCGATCTTCCGGTCGATAATTGCTGCAAGCCCTTGGTCTCCCTTCGACGTGTTCACTGTTCGGTTGCTGACTCTCCCCCCTAAAAATCGCACGAAGTCAACGTAGCTTGGTTGCTGAAACGAAATTGATAATTTAATCATGGCGCTTCTTTGATCCCCTTTTGCATCTGTAAATTTTAATAAAACCTTGTTTTCTCAGTCGATTCTTGGTCAACATAGTACAGTGCGGTATCTTATAATGAACTAATTCGTTCTAGAACATCGTTCGTTATAACGTCCATTCGTTATAAGATGTTTGATTGATATTGATTGATAAATTACATTATCGAATATTACTACCAAATATACAGCCCAGTTATTACTGGTTACAATGATTTCACATAAAATAAGATAAAATTCAACAAAAAGATATAAGAACTGTACTAAATATACATATTATAAATTTAATTTAAATTATATTTAAACTTTACACACCCAAACACACACACACACACACAAATTGGACATACGTGTAAATTTATAAAAAATTACAAAGAAGAGGAAGCAGAGAAGTCGTCAATTCTGCTCTTATTGTATTTCCTCTCCTGCACTTTGATTTAATGAGAAAAACTGTTCGCTATAGCATTCGTTCGTTGTAGAATACTCCACTGTATAAGATAAAGTTGTTCAGAAGATAAGTGAATTAGTGGATCGAGTAGTCGTGCTTCATCATAGCCATTAATATTTTCATCTCCTTTCATGCCGCGGGTTCTCAGTACTTTTGCTAGACTATTCGCTATCTTGCTAGACAGTTGCGTAACTAATTCGATGAATTAGTGTTAGCTATCATTAGGGCTGATAAGCAACAATATTATCGGGCTGATAAGCAACGGTGTAGATTGTTTTTCGTCTCGGACGTAGCTAATTTTCGAAGTACTTATCTTTCACAAGCTGGCAACCACTTGAATCCACTATTTATTGCGACAGATGCGTACTGGAATAATAAAACAAGTGGAGGTCACTTACCATCAAATACTACTTCGTCAGATTATGTCTACAAAGTTGTTAATCGAGTCAAGATCAGAGTGCGAAAAGGAGATCAAAAATCTGAAATGAATTTTCCGGAAAGTTTATTTCCAGGGAAATAGTATTTGAACACGTATCTAGACACGTGTTGTGTATTATATGCCGACTTTGTCTGTCTATTGCACGCCATTTCTACTTGCTTTAGACAGGTTGTATCGCAACTTATCTCTTCGCCTGTGAATATTATAGAAACTGATTGCAACTATTTATAAATGTGACTTGTAGAAGTCACAAATGTCGACTTGTTAGTCGACCAAGTGTTTTTTCGCTTACAGTTTTCATGAAATGGAAATCACTGTTTGCTGTGATGATAGAGTTTTACATTCGCGCATCTGAACTAAGTACTATCTTAACACTTAGCCAACCGAATGAGGAGATCTCCCCGTTTTAAATTCAGTCGATTGACGATCGAATGGATGATTAATGAAAAATTAAAACTGATTGCTTAATTTTATTCAGATTTGCATGAGGTACGAATGCTGAAGAAGTAATTGATGCCATATGAGTTTTTTTAGTAATTTTTGCTCAATAGAATGAAATATCTTAATTTTATGAACATTTTTGAGGTCTCTAACGCGATCGTGGAAGTGTTAAATGAGAACAATTGCATTCTCGTATTTAAGATTACCTCAAAAACAGAAGGTCCATGATTATTAATGGGATTGTTGTGGAATTTATAATCTTTGCATAGTTTCGTCGAACCGATCTAATATTTTAGGTATGAATGTGAATCCTAATTTCACGCATATTCCACGCGAACATGGTTCCCCGATGGTATTCCGTTTGAGAGTCGTCTTCCCGGCCCCTGACAACATTGACTAATGGTTACCGCGTACCCGCCCNAATTTTAATAAAACCTTGTTTTCTCAGTCGATTCTTGGTCAACATAGTACAGTGCGGTATCTTATAATGAACTAATTCGTTCTAGAACATCGTTCGTTATAACGTCCATTCGTTATAAGATGTTTGATTGATATTGATTGATAAATTACATTATCGAATATTACTACCAAATATACAGCCCAGTTATTACTGGTTACAATGATTTCACATAAAATAAGATAAAATTCAACAAAAAGATATAAGAACTGTACTAAATATACATATTATAAATTTAATTTAAATTATATTTAAACTTTACACACCCAAACACACACACACACACACAAATTGGACATACGTGTAAATTTATAAAAAATTACAAAGAAGAGGAAGCAGAGAAGTCGTCAATTCTGCTCTTATTGTATTTCCTCTCCTGCACTTTGATTTAATGAGAAAAACTGTTCGCTATAGCATTCGTTCGTTGTAGAATACTCCACTGTATAAGATAAAGTTGTTCAGAAGATAAGTGAATTAGTGGATCGAGTAGTCGTGCTTCATCATAGCCATTAATATTTTCATCTCCTTTCATGCCGCGGGTTCTCAGTACTTTTGCTAGACTATTCGCTATCTTGCTAGACAGTTGCGTAACTAATTCGATGAATTAGTGTTAGCTATCATTAGGGCTGATAAGCAACAATATTATCGGGCTGATAAGCAACGGTGTAGATTGTTTTTCGTCTCGGACGTAGCTAATTTTCGAAGTACTTATCTTTCACAAGCTGGCAACCACTTGAATCCACTATTTATTGCGACAGATGCGTACTGGAATAATAAAACAAGTGGAGGTCACTTACCATCAAATACTACTTCGTCAGATTATGTCTACAAAGTTGTTAATCGAGTCAAGATCAGAGTGCGAAAAGGAGATCAAAAATCTGAAATGAATTTTCCGGAAAGTTTATTTCCAGGGAAATAGTATTTGAACACGTATCTAGACACGTGTTGTGTATTATATGCCGACTTTGTCTGTCTATTGCACGCCATTTCTACTTGCTTTAGACAGGTTGTATCGCAACTTATCTCTTCGCCTGTGAATATTATAGAAACTGATTGCAACTATTTATAAATGTGACTTGTAGAAGTCACAAATGTCGACTTGTTAGTCGACCAAGTGTTTTTTCGCTTACAGTTTTCATGAAATGGAAATCACTGTTTGCTGTGATGATAGAGTTTTACATTCGCGCATCTGAACTAAGTACTATCTTAACACTTAGCCAACCGAATGAGGAGATCTCCCCGTTTTAAATTCAGTCGATTGACGATCGAATGGATGATTAATGAAAAATTAAAACTGATTGCTTAATTTTATTCAGATTTGCATGAGGTACGAATGCTGAAGAAGTAATTGATGCCATATGAGTTTTTTTAGTAATTTTTGCTCAATAGAATGAAATATCTTAATTTTATGAACATTTTTGAGGTCTCTAACGCGATCGTGGAAGTGTTAAATGAGAACAATTGCATTCTCGTATTTAAGATTACCTCAAAAACAGAAGGTCCATGATTATTAATGGGATTGTTGTGGAATTTATAATCTTTGCATAGTTTCGTCGAACCGATCTAATATTTTAGGTATGAATGTGAATCCTAATTTCACGCATATTCCACGCGAACATGGTTCCCCGATGGTATTCCGTTTGAGAGTCGTCTTCCCGGCCCCTGACAACATTGACTAATGGTTACCGCGTACCCGCCCCCGAACTTTATACTTTCTCTTTGCACATACATGAAGAAAGTAAAAGACGAAAGAAAGTAGATCTTTAAAAAAGACGAGGAAGAGCAGAGCAGAAAAGGAGAAACGTAAAAGCATTCGGAAGGAAAAAGACGGGAGACAAAGAGGGAACGATGAGAAACGGACGAACAATAGAACTAGAAGAAACATTATTAAATGAACAACGCGAAAAATGCTAGGAAATTAGAGCAAATGGTGATTGCAGAAGTTTGGAAAATTTGCATCTTCATGGATAATTATAAAAGAGTTCTGAAATATAATGTTATGTCACATGTTCACAATATTTGAATTACATTAGTTGATAACATGAAGGCATATTTACAGAAAGAGCATTGTAGAATTTGAGAATATTTGTAACATCATAAGGTACAAAATATAATAGACATCTCTTTTTACTAATAATATTGACGAATGGAAATCATTTAACTCTGTTTGAATTTGCATACATTTTGAAATACCAAACACAATAATACGATCCAGATATTTCTCAAAATTGTGAAATCATTCATCCAACGTTACTAAAACGCACTTTGCAACGCTTTCATAGAAAACACCTCTATCGAGTTTCAAAATGCAAATACGCCGTCTAACGATGTTCAACGCTCTAACATGTACAAAAACATACAACTCATTATCTAATCAGCATTGAACTATAAATATAACAGCTTCGAGTAGCAATGATCAATAATAATAAACATGGTTTTTTCGGTGACAAAACATGAATATCTGCTGTAAATGTAAATGCACGAATTCAGAATACAAATGTCCGAAAGAATCAAAATCGATTACAAGTACGAATCTCTAATCAAGTGTTCTCTTGTACTTAAATCAACCATCAATTCTTTCTACGTTTCAGTAAGCAAGCTGTATTCGACGGAAAAAAGGCTATTAGAGGAGGCATACCATTTGTCTTCCGTAAGTACGCGCCACTAAAAAACAGCTTGGCGAAATAATTGCGATAAACATTAAACAATTTGTTTCAGCTTATATAATGCAAACTGTTCAATGATTTACTCTTAGATCATCTATTTAAAGATATGTATTCAATTGTATTTTTGTGCAAAACTAGATAGTATTCAATAAAAATCGCCTTAAAGAAATTATTTTCCCAGCTGAAAATATTCTTTTTATCATTGTTGTTTGACGATTGCGTCCGTAATGTGCAAAATATTAATTGTCCATTGATTTTCTATGGATTAGCGCAATTCGGAGCATGGACGTTCGGGCCACCCCATGGATTCGCAAGAATCATCCGTTGGAATGTGGAAAAGTCACCCGAACGATTACCCAGCGGTGACGTTGAGGCAATATTCTCGATAATGGATAGCGAATTCACCCGTTCAATGTGGAATTACCCCTTTAGGTTAACGTACAGATTAATTCTCCGAGAAAAGGAACTACACTTTAACATCGGCGTGTACAACCCCAGCAAAGATCACACGTTTAGCTTTAACTTGTTGTTACACACCTACTTTAAAGTGCCGGACGTCAGGAGATGTCAAATCACTGGTCTCCACGGATGCACTTTTATCGACAAGGTATGCACAATTGGCATTGCATCTTCTACCATTTATTAAGCTCCTCTATTTTAACAGACTCGTAAGACCCCGAATCGTTCCCCCTTTCTCTAACCAAAACTTTACTTTAGCTATTTCTCCATGAAAGCGAAACCAGACTTTTTACCCAGATCTTATATACATATTTCATGTGCATACTCTTTCTGCAGACGAGAGACAACCAAATCTTTCAAGAGGGCCGCGATGTAGTAACGGTATGCGAATGGACGGATAGAATTTACCAAAACACGCAACCGGAACACATCATCACCAACGTTGTGTCTGGTAGAAAAATGCGTGTGCAAAAGTACAATTTCCCGGATACGGTGGTGTGGAATCCGTGGCAAGAGAAGGCCCGCGACATCCCCGACTTCGGCGATGATGAATTTCCAAATATGATATGCGTGGAAAGCGGGCACGTCAGTAGCCCAGTGATATTATTACCTGGAACAGCTTTTGAAGCCAGTCAGATCTTACAGGTGACATAATTTTCTGTAAATGTAATCACTTTATCGTATACAGGCAGCAGACAGGTAATTTAGAGGATGATTCTTCACGTAACAAAATTAACGATCAAAGTTCTACCTGATTTGACTTATACTTTCTAATGTAGATACATTAGGCAGATTTTCATTTGTAATTGTCTTTTAATTTCATATTGCATTTACCTTTTTATTACATTAGAAACTACGTAATAGAATTGCAACTTTTTCATACTAAATTACACTTTTTTTGGTTTGTATAAGTGTTTTTAATAGGTCCTTTAATCTCATGGAACGTAGTCTTGTAAACTTTTCCCCTTTTGTCAAACAATCTTCACAATGATGTTTCAGAACACACCTTAATATTAATGGAAGAATTACAAAAGTGTTTGTACATCGTAGGTAATGTGAGTAGAGGGTGGACCGACTTCGCACATAACATCCGGAAGTAATTCCAATGCATTGCATCCGGTCTCCTCTGCACCAGGTACCGTCTGGCGAACCGGTGCCGGGTGGCTATACATGTCACCGCCTCCACCTCCGCCACCACCACCGCCAACGTCCTCGACACATCAGTCGCACCTCCATGCGCATTGTATCGCTCAGACTTGCACTATATGTTCTCTCAATCTTTAAATCCTTATCACCCGAGAAAACAGCGATTATCTCGGTTATCGTGGCAATATTCTATTCTGTTATTGGTATTGAATGTCTCAGTACTTAGAATCGTGAACATTTCTTACTGTACAAAAAAATTAGATGCTACGTAGCTATTTGCATTTTATACTAACACAAAATATCGTCCCAATCACTAGAAAATTTTTGTAATCACTGGAATTTTGTTAAGTATCATCATCGGTTTAAAAATCATGTTCGACGTAATTGGATCTGAACAAATACAGTTTCAGATTATGTATATTTAGATTTATGAAAATTGTGATGTCAACGTACTTCAAACTTTTTAATTTCTCTTCGAGTAGACAAATAATTGAGTACATTTGTTCGAACAATAAATTCAGTAATCATAATGTTGGAAGGAAAGTATAATTCTTATTTATAAATACTTTCATTTCCGGGACAATTAATATTGTTACTCGTACAGTTCCTTTTCTACGTCGATTTCTATGGTATTATTCCAAAGTAGTAACGTGCAGAATGAAATTTATAAAATTCCAAAACTTTTCAGGACTCCAGAGGCTCTTCAATGCGCATTCATATGATAGTGTTACACAGCACTGCTGTTGTTACACAAATTAACGATAGATTTATTTAAATGTTTTATTCGAATAGTTGATTAATCAATTTCTTGACGCCAGCACAAATAATATGTATATCTTTTTAGTACATTCCATGCGCTATATATTTACAATGTTCTGATACAAAAAAAAAAGAATCGAACTGCGCTATGCTGAACGCAATACCTGTCAACTGATAGGATTTTTCACTCATTTTGTTTTTTATTCGTAAAGCAACGCGTAAGGCGGAATTTTAGAAACACAACTAGGTATACTTTGAAGCATAAGTAGAGAATTTAATTGCATTATAAGCATTTACAATAATGGATGCAACACACTGACAAAGCGATACAGATATGGTGCTAATGTTACAGGTATAATATTGTAATGATAGATAGTTACAGTAATTAAGCTCAATCAGCATTCTTTATTATTGTTGTAGTGTTAGCAGCTGGAAAAAAAGAAACTTTTATCAGGTTTTCAAGTACATTCTATCTTCTGTCTTACCTTGTGCAGAAGGACGAAAGCATACAGTAACAATATATCATCGAAATAGACGTAAGCAAATATTTATACCGTACATTATTATGATACTAGTATAAATAAGAAACAGAATAATTTCATGTGTGTGCGAAACATTTGTAAAAATATTATCTCGTCAACGTTTTATCCATTAACTAACTTTCTAGTGTGACGAGAAACGACTTCGAAAAACATACTAACACTTTGCCATTCAGTCATTAATACTTGGATCATTGTTAAGCACTATATTATACAAGGGATGTCTCGATAATTTAGTGCAAAACTTAGGATATATTTATGTTTCATTTTGGAGATAGGACATAATTTATAGGATATTATAATTCCAGTTACTGCAATAATAACTTCTTTTAATATTTTTGATAATCAAATAGCAAACACATTTTCATATTTTCGCATGTGAATTATTTTGCGTCGGCCAACGAATTAATACATTACGCAACTTAATGTCTGAATTCGCGAAATATCAACTAAGACGGTAACACATTCCCTAGAAAGAATTTTAGATTTAGCTTCACGACTATTACAGATTAATTAATATGTTTGAAAAATTCGGTTCAGAATTGTAATTCTGATCATTAAGTTCTGCATTACATTATTGAGTTATTCCATGCAGATAGCATTGATATACTGGAATTTTTAATCAAGGCTCCCAAGTGTAAGGAACGAGTTACATGACCACCTTTCATGCAATAATATACTAAATAAGAACTATTAATAATTTTGTTGCTCCTAAATAGTTATTGAATATAATGGTATCTCCTTTATCTGAATGATATACATTCCTTGTGTATATATTTGTTATTTTGTCAGAAACATATACAATAATGAATTAATAATCTTCTAAATAGAATTACAATTTTGAAACTGATTAATATCTTTGTATAACAAGTGATAAAAATTCCATAATTTTTTAAGTCAGTGGAAAAGAATTTTTTAAGGAAACGAAGTAAAATTAATATTAATCCCAGAAATAATAGATATTTATCCCATACAAAATATGCTGTCAATGGTCATTTTACAAGTAAGGCTTTTATCCAAAGAAAGTAAGACTGAAATTTAGCAGTTAGGCGAATTATTATAAAACAATGTTGCCAAGGAATTTTTCTTTTCCAATGACTTTTAAAATGTAACATTTCTCACTTTTCTCATTTATCATGCTTTAGCGATACTTAACGGTTTCATAAAAGAATTCAACTTATATTAGACCATTCAAATGTAAAATTATATTTGTTTTCTACAGTTAAAAAAAACGAATTCTCTTTATTAATTAAATGTTTAAAAATCTCTTACGTAAGAAAATACCTGACACATAATTATTAAATATTTTTACGGTAGATTAAAAATATTTATAGATGCCTAGAAAGAATGAGAATTTTTTCTAAATTTCATTCAATTTAATTTTTCTTAAATCCTACACCACTTGTCTCATTAGAGTGCCATTCATCGCGCATTAAATTAATTTTCACTAATTTTCATAAAAACACTCAAATATTTAATTCAGAGACAGTGGCATGTAGCACATTTTTTTCATATTTTTAAATAAGGATTCATGCCACAATATTTTTCATCAATGTTGTTTTTCATCAAGAATGTGTCATAGATTAAAATTTTCAAATCTGTACTTTTTTACTTTCAAAATTTAGTTAGAATGCTTATTATATACAACGAAATTAAATGTTGCTCATAAAACTTTTGGTGTAATGCGATTAAAACTTTGTTTTATTTAACGCGCGCATAACGTATGCAGTATTCGAACTTTTTATTATAACATAACATAAATGCTCAATATATAATGTCGTTCCTTACATGTTGAAAATTCAAAGATCTGTAATTATACAGGAGAAATAATTCTCCTTCTAGACATATTACGAAGCTAAAGCAACACCCAGAGAAAACTAAAAATGACATTGGGAATGCTTTAACAAATTAGGAATAAGTGAAATTGACTTTAATCTCAAAGAGACTACTTCATAAGGGTTTCGGTCTTTAGAGGCTAGACAGTATATTTGTCATACGACATGGCATATTACTTTTTTTCCCATGTTAGCAATAAGATTTGGTCTTCCAACAAGTGATACATATGGAACTACAAAATCACATGTTTTGTATTGCCTTGACATTGATATTCCAGATATCTGTAATTTGTACGAATATTTCCAATTTTCGATTAAACAATATGTTAAAAATGTACTCTTTCTGGGAAAGTGCAATAAAATATGGGAAATAAATATGAAGCAAGCCCTTTTTTAAGAAAATACTTTACATTGTCTTTACAAATTTTATAATGCTTATTATCTTATATTTTAACACAGTATAATACATTTGTTATGTTCACTTTGCACTAGTACTATGTTTTTAATCTCAGAAAAACAAACCGACATATTGAAGACATTAAGAAAGAGCAATAACAATAGTATTATCAAAATACATTGCCGCAGGATAAGTATTAAAAATTTCAAAATAAAGCAGACTTTTAATTGATGTAAACAACAAATGTGTAGAAATGCAAGATGTATATGAATATGGCTATACAATTTACATAACTATTTTTCGTGT